ATTTACGAAGCGAAGCGAAGGATTGTTTCCTTAATTTGCGCTTTTTAATTTTCGCAACGCGAAGTGGGTCCGAAGCGGTTGTAGCATCGGCAGGAATTTGCGCCGTAGTCTTAGACTTCGGTCGCGGAATAGGAACGTGCTTAGCATCGCTCAAAGAAACAGCCTTAGTCTTAGCTATAGGCTTAGGAACCATTTCCAGAAAGTCGAGTCTAAGACTCAGACAATGGGCGAGTAACTGCTGCGGCGCAATGTGAGGCGAGGACCGAACAAATGATCGTCGATACCAAAATGTAACAGCCGTCTCTTACCTTAGCTGTTTTAGCGGAAGTAGAGGGTCTCGTCCACGATTGGCGACCCAGCGTTAGGCGTGAGAAGAGACAAGGGAAGTCGGGATTCGAAGACATACGTCGAGAACGGTGACAGCAAGGTCTTGAACCCTGAACACTAGTATAGTGATACGTTAAGTGTCTGGCCGAAGCACTTCACCTGGGTGGCTTAAATGCGGCCCACCTGCCGCCATCTCCATTCCTGGAGTCTTGGTGCCGTACGCTAGGTTGTGATAGCGTACCAGAAAGTGAGTTCGTACAGTTAACGAGTATGGTTCGTAAATACGGGACCGTACCGTTACTGTGATTAAGCTTTAATAGCTTAAAGATATTCTAAGGTAAATGTAGCTTGCTACACATTGAGGCCGCCATCATGGACACGGGCGGTGATGCAGGGCGCACGCTAGCCTGGTACCCCGGGTTGTTGATGGCATGGCGGTTTGATAAGGTCAGTGCATGTGGGTCGGGCAAAGGCAAGGCTAGCGTGTTGGTCTGCCTGACAAATGTTAACCCACATGGGAATCCTGACATGGCGCCACAGGCGGATACATTCTTCCGGGATAATCAGCTTCCAGCATACTACGGCGAAATCGACTCCATCCGGTCCGTTGTCTGCAGTTTCTCCTCCGCAGCTGGACGGCCGTGTGCCGCGTGTCTGGCCCTCAACAGAAATCACCAATTGAAGTGTTCAGCCGACGCTGCTTCACTGCGAGTCGCTGCGACACAGCGAGTCGCGACAGACCCACGTGTCATTGTCCCCTTCCGTTCTGCCGAGGGACTTGAGTGTGTGGGACATGTTGAGCTCAAGGCGGTCACATCCGTGGGCAGATCGAATAGCGCTGGACAGGGAGATTAAGCGGCGGACATCCCTTTTCCAGGCTGATAGAGTGAGGCTACAGGCATACGCTCGGGCAGATGCATCACACAGTGAACTCGTCCGACTGCTCGAAACATCACAACAACGAGGTATGATGCGGTGTCGGCATGCGTGAGTAGTGTAGGCTGGCATGCGTGTACACATGCCTTGACTTGTTAACCATCGGACATCGATTGACATTCAGGACTCGTTGACGGCACAATTCAACAGTTGCTGCGGGGTATCATCCGGGGTCTCAGCATCAAAGGACAACAACGCCAGCCGGAGGAGGTAGCTTTTTACATTGCTCCTTGCAGTGACGTGGGTGTCCGTGCTCCAACCCGTGGTGCTGACTATTGACCAAATGCACATTGGCTGGCGCCTAAGGTACGCGGGCCTGCTGTGGGGTACATTAAAAGCCAGGAGCATGGCCATGTGTTCACGGGCGAATGACTGGTACCAAATAGGATCAGCAATGTGGACGCTGTAACACATGCTGCAGGCGCCAGCTCATCAACCCCCGGAAGATGATGATGATCGGGCCATACCTCATCAGCTTCCCTGCACTGCGCACGCTGAGCAAGCACATGCCCCATGTCAACATCTCGTCCCAGGATCTCAACTACAAGGACAAACAGAACCAGCACGCAACTCTCAAGTAGGCTCTATCCAACCTGGAATTAGGTACAGACTGGTTTGTGGCTGACTTACCGCCATTCACTGACAGGTTGGCCGACCTGGACATGGATCCCTCAACTGGAAGCGTCAAGGCAGTCAGTGTGCTGTGTGACGCACTGGAGACAGGTTCACACAGTCCGGTTGGCGGTGATGGTCCTATCGTTGACGGCTCGTATTATGCTACCTTCCTCTATGTGACGTTCATGCATTATTTAGTAGCTGGCCGCTGAAAAGGCCTCTCGAGATGCTGGTGGTCGTGCTATGCGTGTACCAGCTTACTGTACTTACTGTGTACCAGCTACTACAGCTACATTGTGCCGGGCCACACTGCAGGGCAGGCGCGTGTGCTTACATTTCTTTGTCTGCGTGAATGATTGGATGTATGAATGAATGGACGAATGAAAGGTGTGGTTAACATGCCCCTGGTTTGGTTCGGTTTGGGTGGTGGTATCTTTTTGAACACATGTAGTCTGGTCGAGTGCCAGGGGCCCTTAGCAGGACTGAAGCACAGTTCAAGACGAGGCGTGTGGATATGTCTGCTTGTCTGAACGAAGGAATGAATGAATGAATAGACCGGGTGTTAAAATTGTGAGCGACTTGCCATTCAGACACACCTTTGGTTCTGGTCGGTTCGGGTGATGGTAACTTTTCACACATACACACACAATGAATGTATGGGTGAATGAGTATGGAGTACGGTAACAAGGCGTGTGGCACTCTGGGAAAACGGGGGTCATTTTACCCGTAATTTTGGGTCAATCCACCCGTAATTTGACAGATATTACGGGTCCGTAACACGTTACGGGTCTCGTAATTTGAGCACAAGGATACAGGTGAACATTTACGGGTGAAGACCCAGTGATTACGGGTGGATTTTACGCGGTGCTGGAGGTGAATTACGGGCGCATGTAACCAATTACACGCAGAATTACGGGTGAAGACCCAATGATTACGGGTGGATTTTACACGGTGCTGGAGGTGAATTACGGTCACATGTAACCAATTACACGCGAAATTACGGGTGAAGACCCAGTGATTACGGGTGGATTTTACGCGGTGCTGGAGGTGAATTACGGGCACATGTAACCAATTACACGCAAACTTACGGGTGAAGACCCAGTGATTACGGGTGGATTTTACGCGGTGCTGGAGGTGAATTACGGGCGCATGTAACCAATTACACGCAAACTTACGGGTGAAGACCCAGTGATTACGGGTGGATTTTACGCGGTGCTGGAGGTGAAATACGGGCGCATGTAACCAATTACACGTACAATTACGGGTGAAGACCCTGTTATCACGGGTTACACAGGCAGATATTACTCTGCGATGTGACGCTTACTGCATGTTAAATTAACGATTGGTGAATACTTGCGGCAAGCCTCAAAATGGACGCACACCCCTTGTCAAAGTAGCCTAAGTCTCAGTGTGCTTGTGGACCAAGGCGCTTTGGACTCACAACGCCAACCAGCCAGCCTGACAGCCTGATGCATTCATCTCAACCATCGTCCTCGAAAACAGCGTTCATGTCACCCCCCATACAGCAAGTGCTCGCCAAGGAGTCTCACCACCACTTGCAGAGTTCGTGCCTACTCCTACGGATG